CAATGCTGTTATTTCATCAAGTTGCTACAAGGTTGTCACTCACAACTTGTTGACGGATTGTCGAATTGCAGGACGATCACAAGTTGTTGGAACAACTTGTAACAAGTCTGTTGAACTCAAGCAAATCTCCCGGGACAAAAATGGTCTCGGCTCGTTAATAAAACAGTATAGTGCTGTTCACATTATATTTTACTTGCCCCAGGACAAGAACTGATCCGAGTGACTGGCCTCTGTAGTCAGAAATACTCGCTTATCGGGACAGATTTTCCTCATTTGAACTCTTTGCCCCAGGATAATTGAATTATTGAATTTTTGGCAAAGCGATCAAAATCGCGGCTAAAATTACATTTAGAGCATGTTGATTGTTGGCTTCCATAAAATCTTGTTATTTGTTTGAAGATATCATTAGAAATCTATATGTGATGATTCTAATAATATTAAAATAAAATTATCGCGGATATCATCTTTGAAACCTATTGTAGAAATGTAGTATGCAACGCAAAAATTTTGATCTGGTGTACCAGAAACAATGATTTAATCACATTTTACTACGGCTGGCAATCAACTATGTCTATTTGTAAATAAAACCCAGGATTAGGAAAACTGGCTTTCAAACGGGTTATCGCTGGTTTCAAGCGTTAATCGTGGCCCTAACTTATAACGAACGACTTTCGCTAGTAACTTCGAAGTGTTTTTTTAAATTTTTTTTGGGTAGTTTGGTAACTGTGTTCTGTTCGTAAATTAAGTAAACTTGTGTATAAATAATAAATCTCTCTTTGTTTTAAGAATGACGCGATGTCGAAGATTGCTAGCAGTATTTTTGTCAGTATGCTTGGTCGTGGTGTCAGGATCTTTGAGAGTTCAACTGATGAAATCGACGCTCCACGGTGTCAGCAGCAGATTTTCGGAATGGAGTGCTTGGTCTAAGTGTAGTGAAAGAGTTTGCTGTCATCATGGTGTGACGTCACGACGACGTCATTGCGCGACGCCGCCTTGCACTGGAATTGAAACTGAATCCGAGGGTTGCCCGAGAAGAAATTGTAAAAGTATGGTATTAATTTATGACGGAATCATCCTCAGAGACATCACTGTACATGTGTAATGCAGAGGACAACAAAAATGTCGGATTTTTGACCATTCAACAGTGTTTGTGCGAGTCTAAATCCTCTCCCGAAATGTTTTTGTTGTCCTAATTAAGAATTAAAAATGAAGTCCTGGGCCGGTTGTTCAAACCGGGTTATCGCTGATCCTGGGTTAAAATTTAACCCGCTGTTTTAGTTTTTGGATTTCTGCACGTCTGTTTATTTCAAAACGTCAGAGAAGTATAAACTCCTATCGATCCAGACAAGATCTCTGAAGAAATGTTTCCAAATTTATAGGCAAGCTGTCAGGAAGTTTGCTTTGAATTTTACATTAACCTAGGGTTAAGCTAACTCAGCTTTGAACAACCGGCCCCTGGTCAAACGAGAACAAGAGTCGATGAGCTTTGACAGACAGTGCTCAAAGTTTGCGAGAGTGCATGAGAGTAGATCTGATAATTTGCGTTAAAACGATGAGTTGCAACTCTCATCAACTCCAATCCTCGTTTGACCGAGGCTTTAGTGTGAAAAAATAGACCGAGAAGCTGAATTAATTGTACTACGTGATATGGTGTCTGAAAGAGTACTCTCTCATACCATAGTATGAGAGAGTACTCTTTCATAGTGTTATAAAACATTGACTATCCCCTCTCTTCATACAGAATGCAGTTTGGGGCCTCTTGCCACTACAACCACGGCTGCAACTGGATCCTTCATCAATTCTGAATGTGAAACAGATCGGAAACATTGGTCATCACGTCAACTGTCCAAAATTATACGTTCTTCGATGTACAAAACGTTTCCTGCTTTAAAAAAAATTTTACGTACTGGATTTTTTGGCAAACATACAGTTTATATACCTCGTTCAAAGACTAAGAAGATGGTAATGAACAAGGTATAATATAATTGGTTTATTTTTGTCATGTGATGTTATTAAGGGCCGTTTGTACAAAGGCCTGATAGTGCTGTATATAGCCCTGTAGGCCGGGGTTTATATATGGTCGTAAAAATAGAGTCATGATCTTTCTCAACGGCCAGTTTATAATAGTTTACACCTGTAAACAACAGATAAATCTCTAGTTATAATCTCTCCGCATATTTTCAGTTCTAAAATGTTATATTTCGTCTGATGAGAAAGATCGTGACTCAATCTTTACGACCGTTACGACCATATGGAAGCCACAGTGGCGCCGTGGGTTCCATGTTTTTTTTTGGGGGGGAGGGGGACAAGAGCAGTACTTTTTTGACAAACCGAAACATTTTTCCGACAAACCAAACATTTTTCCGAATGACAACATTTTAAATCTCCCCCGTCGACAACTTTGACAATTTCCGACAACATTGACAATTTTTCGTCGGGTCTCAACAATAGGGGGGGGGGGCATGCGCCCCCCCCGGCCACGGTGCCACTGGGAAGCCAGGCTTTAGTTTTCAATCTGCAGAACTTGATATAATAGACAGGATATATTTTAACGATGCAGGGTGACCAAATCTAAACGAACTGTTTCCTATTCTTTTAGTTTTGTTTCGAACCGACAGTAGCACTAACCTCAAATCAAGCGAGAAGAATATTTCACACCAATAGAAGAACAAAAGTCTCTCGTCGTAAATCCTACAACGAAGAACGAACTGTAAATGGAATCGTCATAACGACCTTTCTAAATGGAAAGGTTTTCAAACCTGGAGTATTCTGGACAGCTATTGATCGTGATGGGGAAACGGCGCATTATCATTATTATTATTACGATAATAGCATAGTTGCCCGGGTTTCTTTTGTTTCAACAGGGACGTTTAATCACGTATCACCCGCTGTAGCGGGCGATTAGTTCTAATCGCCCGCTAGAGCGGGCGATTAGAACTAATCGCCCGTTACCAAGGGTCACACCTTTGTCTCCCTGACGACTACGCATTAGGCAAGTGCCTCACGCACATAATCGCGCAAGGAACAGCAACAGTTAGCTCAGAGCCGTCAATAGTCTATCATCCGATCCCTGAGTTGCTGCATCATTTAAATTACGCACGTGCAGTCTCCAAATTTATACTAATATATTTAGCGTGTTTGTTGTGGTACGTTAAATGATAGATTGCGCATGCGTAACCGATTAAAGCGTAAAAAGTGCGCATGTGCAACAAGCTTTTACATCCCACAAGCAATGAAGCAAATGTTTTAGCTTAAATACGCTGATTCCAAGTAGGGCATGTTTGTCCATTTTTAAATGGGAGCGAAACTATGCTATTACAAACTAATAGCATGGCTTTTCGGGAGAATAGTGATTAAATGACCCCTTACCCTCGGCAGGTTTGCGGAATTCCCTCGGGCTTCGCCCTCGGGAATTCCGCAAACCTGCCTCGGGTTACGGGGCCATTTAATCACTAATCTCCCTCAAGCCATGCTATTACTTATAATAAAAAACCAACTGTGTAAGAGAACATTTTCATAAAGATTGTCACTAATCACGAACTGTTTGAGCCAGGGTAGGTAGTGAGACCAGAAACATGGCCGGATTTTGAGGGGAGGTGTGGGGAGGTGCACCTCCCCGAGGTCGTTTTGCACCTCCCCTGAGAATTTTTGCACCTCACCTGAAAAGTCGTGCACCTCCCCTTGGGAAAATTTCAATCATAGATCAAAATGAAAATTTGACTTTTTCGGTTGATTAGGATCTACACTCCGTGAGAAAGTTTTTTTTCTGTAAAGTTGAAGCAGTGATAGCCATTCATCTCTGTATCAAGCACCCATTTTAATGCACTGTTTTGAAAGAAATTAATAGTAATTGTAATGAATGGCAAAATTGGATGAGTTGTACAGTCATAATTTATTAAGAGGCAATTGTTTTCAATGTCACGTATTTGCAATGAAAAGTGTTCAAAACCTAAAATCTTTTTGGCGTTCCTCTCAAAATTACTTTGTTTTAGCTTTAAGGCCATGTTACACGGTGCAATTTTTCTTGCAACTTGCAATGCAATTCTACTCTTGAGAGATGTTAATTAGTGAAATCAGTGAAGAATTTTCGATATGTTCAGAAAACATCAGCGGAGTGTAATGAAGACTCGTACTTGGCAATTTTACATCTCTCAAGAGTAGAATTGCATTGCAAGTTGCAAGAAAAATTGCACCGTGTAACATGGCCTTTATTCTCTAGTTTAAAAATTGTCAATTAAAATACAATTATCAATGATGCTTTAAAATTGACGCCATATTTACAACCATATAAGCAAAACTTACTGAACTTCAGACATCATTTTCTCTTTGGCGTATCGTCTAAAATCTCTTCATTTTAGCATTATTTTACAGATAAAGCACTAAAAATACTTTTTAAGTTTGTTTGCCGATTGAGAAACGTATCGAAAAATAGAAATTTTGAATTTAGTCATAACCTCAAGCGATATATTATATACGCATTAGTTTTGAGCGCGTGTTACGTAACATACAAAAAAATCTCCTCTTAATACACTGATACATATGTATTGTACACTACATGCAAACGTCACGTCGTTGACTTTGGTCCATTCTAAGCCCTAACTTTCCATGGGGATCGTGAGCTAGACCGCTGCACCTCTCCTAAATGTTTTCCACCCCCCCCCCCCCCCCCCTCCCCCCCACTATTTCCACCAAAATTCGGCCTTGCCAGAAAGCTGCAGATTGAAAGGAATTTAACAACCTGAAAAATACAAGTAAAATTCGACGTTTCGAGCAAAGGCCCTTCGTGGGAAAGTCTACTCGTCGAAGTTTTATTTTTCATGTTTAATTACATTAATTAAATCCCTTTCAATATACAGGGTGTATAAAAAAAACTGAACAGATTTGAAATTGCTCTCAATTTCGCAAAACACCTATTTGTATCCGGTTTTTATATATATATATATATATATATATATATATACCAAATATGTATTTAGAATCAGTATATATATATATATATATATATATATATACTTATATATATATATACTTATATATACTTATATATACTTTTATACTTATATATATATATACTTATATATACTTATATACTTCGGTATATATATATATATATATATATATATATATATATATATATATATATATATATATATATATATATATATATATATATATATATATATATATATATATATATATATATATATATATATATATATATATATATATATATATATGAGTTAAGGCCAAATAAAAAAAAATACTTGGTTAGCGTCACACTCTCACAAATTTTCAGAGGCGGGCGGGCGGATTTTTTTTTTAATTTTTACTCGTTTTTTAATTTTTTAATAGTATTTTTGGAGGGGATGGGGGGCGGTTTTTCCACCATATCGGTGATATTTTTTGTACTGAAGTTGCGAAGGCCGCCATTTTGCTTTAAGAACCTTGTATACCCAAGCCTACGCTCTCCTATCGATCAGTATATAGCGCGAAGGTCTGAGCATGAGAAACATTTCAAATATTAAACTGTTTTAAGCTGTAAAACGAAGAGATTTACATAAAAAAAAAATTAAAAAATTTCAGAGGCGGCAGAAAATCGAGAGGCGGGCGGTGACGCTAACCAAGTATTTTTTTTTATTTGGCCTAATAGATGGAAACTTTGTTGGGTTTTTAATTACTGTACAAAATTTCAGACAATTCGGTTTAGTTTAAGCCGTTTAACTATTAATTTTATTCTAAAAAATCAGCCTTTCGCATGCTTAATTAATGCCTTTACCTAATTTGCATATTGCTAACATATGCAAATTAGGCAAAGGCATTAATTAAGCATGCAAATGGCCGATTTTTAGGGAAAATGTAACTTTGCGTGAATAGTTAAAGGGCTTAAACTAAACCAAATTGTCTGAAATTTTGTACAGTAATTAAAAACCCGACAAATGTTCCATCTATTAACTCAAAATATGATTACAACTTTTAAATTTTGTGCGCGAGCCATTTTTAGTTTGTTGGAAAAGACACACCCCCTAGTTCACAAAATTTGAGTTCAAGAAATTTTTTTCATTATTCTACATTATAAGTACCCAAAGACGCTATATATATAAAAAAAAACCGGATACAAATAGGTTATTTGCGAAATTGAGACCAATTTCAAACCTGTTCAGTTTTTTTTATACACCCTGTAGAGCGTTTGTTTGCATATGACGTCACAGCCGCCATGTTGGTGTTCCAATTCAAAATAATTTTAATTAGACTCGTTTGTCTGGAACACCAACATGGCCGCCATGGCTTTTGTTGAGTTGGTCGCTGGGGAATGAGTGCAAGCGCTCTATCCGCAGCATTCTGTCACCAAATCATGCCTCTAGCCTGAAAACATCACATGGTAAAAGTTGTTTTGAAACCGGAAGTCAGCCATTATTAAGCGAAGTTATATACAGCATTGTTTTATCCTCCTATACTGATTGCAAATTTGTATTTTGAAGGCTATATAATATAGCCCTAACTGTTCGTCCATTTTCAGCCACTTTTTCGATTTTTGAAAAAGGGGCGAAAATTGGCAAAAAAATAAGGCTATAGCCTTTACTTTTCGTCCATTTTTAGCCGATTTTTCAATTTTGAAAATGAGGCAAAAATCAGCGAAAAAAATTAAGGCTATAGCCTTTACTTTTCGTCCATTTTAGCCGATTTTTCTCATTTTTCATAAATGGGCAAAAAAACAGCAAAAAGTAAGGTCATAGCCTTTACAAATCCCGAAAAGTAAAGGCTAATAGCTTAAATTTTGGATTATTTTATATTTCTGAAAAATAGGAAAAATATCTGAAAAAGGTACTAAGGAGATAAACGCTTTATAGTTCGTTTTTGACACTTAAATTTTTCAGAAAGTGACAAAAATTAAGTGTCAAAAACTTTACTATTTCATCATTTTTTCGTGCCAAAAAGTAAAGGGTCAAGCCTTTAATTTTTGGCGACTTAATTTTTTAAAGTAAAATTTGGCGATGAGAGTTTATGTAGAAATTAGTATAGTTGCTAACCAATGGATCGATCTACTAGTCGAGTGGTAGTCTGCTGGTGTTGAATTAATGTCAGGCGTAGTTGTCAATTATTTCCACCCGAGATGAGAAAGAGTTAAGTAGAATAAAAAAAATATTAAAGCATGTGTGGGCGAAATGGTCTAGTGGTAAGGACAAAGTGTTGCACGTGCTTGAAGCCTGGTTCTATTCCGGGTTGTATCAAAATTCAAAAGCATTTTAATGTCAGGCCTCGTTGTTAATTAATTCCACCCGACACGAGAATGTGTTAAGTACAATAAAAAAGAGTTAAAGCAAGTGTAGGCGAGATGGTCTAGTGGTAATGGCAAATTGTTGCATGTGTGTTAAGCCAGGATCGATTCCTGCTGTAGTCAAAAAGCACTTTAATGTCAGGCATCGTTGTTAATTATTCCACCCGAGACGAGAAAGAGTTAAGTAGAATAAAAAAGGAGTGAAAGCATGTGTAGGCGAGATGGTCTAGTGGTAACGACAAAATGTTGAATGTATGTTAAGCCATGAGGATCGATTCCTGCAGTAGTCAAAAAGCATTTTAATGTCAATAAAAAGAGAGTTAAAGCAACTGTAGGCGACATGGTCTAGTGGTAAGGACAAAGTGTTGCATCTACTTTAAAGCCAGGTTCCTTTCCAGGTTGTGCTGAAAGCATTTTAATGTCAGGCATCATTGTTAATTAATTCCACCCGCGACGAGAAACAGTTAAGTAGAATAAAAAAGGAGTTAAAGCATGGGCAGGAGAGATAGTCTAGCGGTAAGGACAAAGTCTTGCACGTCTCAGAAGCTAGGTTCGATTCCTGGTTTTGTCGAAATCATTTTGGGCTGGGAAAGGTTCGAAATATAATTATATTAACTTTCACGTCTTTTCGATTACACATGCAGCCGGGAAAACCTGCTTTTTATCTCCACGGAAAAGTCTACTGATGCACGAGTAAAGTATCGACAGAAAGCCTATTGATCATAGATTCCAAAAATACAATTTTCAGACTAGCCCAAATTCGGGTCTCTGCAATAGGAGCCTTGAAATTCAATAGAACATAAGGTTCGAAACAGCATGCATAATACTAACTTTCACGTCTTTTTCGATTACACAGCTGAAAAACTTGCTTTTTATGTCCACAGACTCTCTAGTTCTACAAGAATTAGGCATCAACAGAAAGGTTATTGACCGTAGATTCTAAAAATACAACTCGCAGACCGTGCCAAATTCTAGTTTTTGCTACAGGAGAGTTAAAATTCAATAGAACATAAGGTTCGAAACAGCATGCATAATATTAACTTTCACGTCTTTTTCGATTACACAGCTGGAAAACTTGCTTTTTATGTCCACAGACTCTCTAGTTCTACAAGAATGAGGCATCGACAGAAAGCCTATTGACGGTAGATTCCAAAAATACAACTCTCAGACCGTGCCAAATTCTAGTTTCTGCTACAGGAGCCTTGAAATTCAATAGAACATAAGGTTCGAAACAGCATAATATTAACTTTCACGTATTTTTCAATTACACAGCTGGAAAAACCTGCTTTTTACTTCCACGGACAAGTCTACTGATGCATGAGTAAAGCATTGACAGAAAGCCTATTGCTCATAGATTCCAAAAATACAATTTTCAGACTAGCCCAAATTCGGGTCTCTGCTATAGGAGGCTTGAAATTCAATAGAACATAAGGTTCGAAACAGCATGCATAATACTAACTTTCACGTCTTTTTCGATTACACAGCTGAAAAACTTGCTTTTTATGTCCACAGACTCTCTAGTTCTACAAAAATTAGGCATCAACAGAAAGGCTATTGACCGTAGATTCTAAAAATACAACTCTCAGACCGTGCCAAATTCTAGTTTTTGCTACAGGAGCGTTAAAATTCAATAGAACATAAGGTTCGAAACAGCATAATATTAACTTTCACGTCTTTTTCCATTACACAGCTGGAAAACTTGCTTTTTATGTCCACAGACTCTCTAGTTCTACAAGAATGAGGCATCAACAGAAAG